TTGTTAAACTTACATCCAACACCAAGTTTCCAAACCTACTCCTCCTGCCCTTTTCCCCATTGTCCAGTGCATGACCAGAGCCTTGGAATAGTGACACTTGAACCTTTTCTCTCTCTCATACTCCACAGCTGATCCATCAGCACATCCTCTGGCTCAGCCACCAGAATGTCTAGTGTCTGACTACTTCTAAGCACCTCTATTGCTCCCACTCTGACCCTGGTCTCTTCCATCTCTCAGCCAGATTATTCATTACCTTCATGTTGATTTCCTGGCATTAGCCTTTGCCCTGGTTCAATGGTTTTTAAACATTTATCATCCACTAATCCTTTTTAAATGTTAGGTCAGGCCTCTGCTAACTTCCAGTGACTTCCAAACTTACTGAGAATAAAAGCCAATGTCTTCACAATAGTCTTCAAGGTCCTGAATGATCTGATTTCCATTATCTTTCTGTTCTCACTTCTCTAGCCTTCCCCTCCTCACTCCACCCCAGTGGCTCTGGTCTCCTTGCTGTCCATCAGATATGCCAGGCCCACTCTACCTGTTTTTCAGTTTGTTCTCCCCCTCCCCCCTGCCCCCCTTCCCACCTCCTCCCCCTTCCTTTCGTCCTTTTTTTAAAGATTTTATTTATTTATTTTTAGACAGAGGAAGGGAGGGAGAAAGAGAGGGAGAGAAACATGAATGTGTAGTTGCCTCTCACACACACCCTACTGGGGACCTGGCCCACAACCCAGGCCTGTGCCCTGACTGGGAATTGAGTCAGCGACCCTGTGGTTTGGAGGCCAGCGCTCAATCCACTGAGCCACACCAGCCAGGGCTCCATCTGTTATTCTTGTTGCCTGCAATGCTCTTCTAGATATTCACATGGCATGTTGTTCATTTCCTTCAAGTGTGTGCTGATATGTCACCTTTTTTAAGTTATTTTTAAATTTTTATTGTTGACATTATTACAAATGTCCCCCATTTACTTCCCCCTTTGCCCCCCTCCACCCAGCCCCTGCACCTCCCCTAACTTCACCGCATTGTTGTCTGTGTCCCCAGGCTATGCATATATGTTCTTTGGCTAATTTCTTCCAGTCTCTCCCTACCCCCTCCTCTCTGAGATCTGTCAGTTTGTTCCATGTATCCATGTCTCTGGTTTTACTTTGTCAGTTTATTTTGTTCTTTAGATTCCACATATGAGTGAGATCATATGGTATTTGTCTTTCTCTAACTGGCTTACTTTGCTTAGCATAATAATTTCCAGGTCCATCTATGCCATTTGCAAAGGGTAAGAGTTCTTTCTTTTTTACTGCTGCAGTAGTATTCCATTGTATAAATGTACCACAGCTTTTTATCTGCTCATCTATTGATGGGCACTCAGGCTGTTTCCAGATCTTTGTTATTGTAAATAACACTGCTATGAACATAGGGTCCATATGTTCTTTCTGATTGGTAGGCCTTCCCTGACTACCCTATTGGAAATTGTGTGTATGTTTACACATGCACATACATACATACATACATACATACACAGACATGAATTTTTATTAAAGATTTTATTTATTTATTTGTAGAGAGGGGAAGGGAGGGGGAAAGAGAGGGAGAGAAACATCAATGTGTGGTTGCCTCTCATATGCCCCCTATTGGGGACCCGGCCCACAACCCAGGCATATGCCCTGACTGGGAATCAAACTGGCAACCCTTTGGTTCACAGGCTGGCACTCAATCCACTGAGCCACACCAGCGAGGGCACCTTTGTGATTTAAAAATCACCTAAAGTTCTATATTCTTATTTAGTTAATTTTACTTCTATTCCCTAAGGGCAGTGATTCTTGTGTGTTTTCTTTACCCCTGTATCCCTAACATTTAGAATATTATCTGGCATACAGTAGGTGCTCTGTAAATATTTGTTGACTGAATGAAAAAATGAATGTTTATTAAATGCCAAAGTGCTGTAATATATACTAGTGATATATTAAACAAAGACACCATTATTTCAGACTTTCAGCTTCTAGTCTAATGAGACAGTCAGACTTAATTAACCTGCAGTCATTGTGATTAAATAGCCTATCAAGGAAATACTGTGGGGTGTGAACACAGAGGAAGATCTTGTAGCTTAGACTTGGGGAAGAGAGGATGGTGGTTAGGGTAGGTCTCTTGGAGAATGTAGCATATAAACTGAGATCAGAGGTTGGAGACCTCCGGTTTCTGGTCCAGAATGTTATGATCTTGGAAGTCTTCACTCCATCTGAACAATTAAAAAGCTGAGCAAACCATGGCATGTTCTGGGCAACTCAGAGGATTGCAGTTCAGAAGGACTGGGGTGTAGTGGAGGGAGGAGTTGAAAGTGGTAACCAGAGCCAAATCACACAGGGCCTTGCAAGTCACAGAAGGAGTTTGGAATTTAAGTTGAGTTTATTATGTTGCATTGAACAGTTTGGGGCAGTGAGAAAAAGGAAGTTGTCAGGATAGGCAAGGACTTAGAAAAGAGGAGACTTTTATAATTATGCTGGAGATAATGGTGGCCTATGCAAGGTGGTAGCAGAGAAAGGAGAATGAACAGATCTGAGTCATTTAGGAAGTAGAACCAACAGGACTTGGTGCAAGGAAAATGGAAGAATCATGGACAAGAGCCTGGCTTTCTGCTTTGAAACAAGAGCCTGGATGATGAGCTAGAACATGTGAGAAGAGCAGATTTGGGTTCAGGTAGGGCAGATACATGAAGGCCTTTTGTGCATATTGTTTGAGATGAGGAATCCTAGTGGAGATATCCAGGTGTTGATTGTACAGGGTGGGCAAAAGTAGGTTCAAAGTTTTTTATATGGAAAAAGACACGCAGGTTATGATTATTACAATAGCTTTACTAACTCAAAAAATGTTACTCACAGCTCTAAGCCTACTTTTGCCCATCCCTGTATATTGACCTGGAACTCAGCAGAGAGATCTAGGATGGAGAGAAAAGTAGATTTGGGAATCTCATCAATTAGATGGTACTTGAAGCTACTGGGTGGATAAAACCCCAGGAGACATGTACAGAGTGATGGTAGAAGAAAGCCTAGGCTGGATAGGTTCTTCTGAAGCTCACCAAGATTCCAGGGCGGCTAGAGGAAGGAAAGGCGAGGAGGAGACTGATAGGGAGAGACTGGAGATTAAGAGAATTTGGTGTCTTAGAAGCCAAGGGAATGGAATATACTCCAAAAGAGAGAATACTGCCAGAGAGAGTGTTAATACTGCCAAGAAGTAAGTAAAGATGTAGTGTTCCTAGGTTTTACTAAGAAGTCCTCAGTGAGCCCTCTGAGAACAGATTCAGTGCATTGATTGTGGGGGTTGGGGGGTGATGTTGTGTCCTCAGAATATCACACTCAGACGCGTATGTCAGCGGGCCCCACTGTTACTGATTCTAACTTTGCTTACTTGGATAAGGTGGTAATTTCTTCATTTTTCCATTGTAAAGGAATATTTTCTTCCTTATAATTAATAATCTTCGGCATCATATTTTGGAAATGTTTGACTCTTCTGTTCTTCAACAGTCTTCACCCAGGGGGTTTAGAATCCCCCAATGATTCTTGATTGAATCAGTTATTATTTTATTGATTGTAAAAATGGTGATTTTTAAAAATTTTATCTTTCCTTCTCCATTTATTACTTGGCATTCTGCCTGATAACTCTGAAAGGTACTGAGCTGTAAAAATTGTCATATAAATATATTTTGCTTTGCTCTTCAAGAGGTGAGTTCCTAAAAAATTGTGTGTAATTGAGCTATATGTCCATAGGAAAATTTCAGAGGTGTGTTTCCATAATAAAAAATAAATTCCTGTAGCCTTATAAAACCTGTCTAAGAAAGGCCAACATTTAATATATTTAACAGATAAAAAAACCCTTAAATAAAATGTAAACAACCATAAGGAATCAACAGTATGCAATATGGAAATAACATATTGTACATTGTTATGACCTGATGATACAAACATATGTCTTTTCTTGCTGAAAGAGTATATAGGAATCTTTGGTAACCAAAATGAATTTTGAATATGATTTTCTGATGTGTTTGATACGTGCTAGTGAGAGCACAGGTGTTTAACATTTCACCTTCAATGCAAGAGCCAGGTCCCTCACCCTTTGGACCTCTGTTTTCGCATTGAGGTGGATAAATTGTAAGATCTCTTCAAATATTAAAACATTTTTGTATATGTTGGCTTCCTATCCCCCTTTGGCTAAAGAGAGTGGAGTTGGCCTTTGAACAAAGAGGGGCTTAGGGGTGCGGTTGAAAATCTGCATGTAACTACTAGTTGGCCCTCTGCATATGAAGATTCCCAGCTTTGGATCAAATATACTGTCTTGGCTTAGTTATCTTGTTTACATTTACTGGAATAGAAGTAGTAAGATAGAGGTCAGAGAGAGTAGAAGAAAGGGAACAAAATGTGAACAAAAAACATGAAGCATTAGGATAGATTATGGTGGGTCTAAGTTTCCCTTTCAGGAGTATATGCTATTATAGGAGTCTGTCCTTTTTTTGCCACACAGGGAGGTTTTTTAATAAAGACCTTCCTTGACGAACAAAATCAGAGATATCTTTATAAACCCGCATGGGAGAGGAGTTTAATAACCCACTAGTTCAACCTTCTTTTCTCTCCAATCACTCAACTACTCCCAGCTGTGTCCTGACAGGAACTAGTGCTTTGAATATAGCAGTGGAAGAAGGATCAATTTCTTCCCTTAGGTATCTGAGGAAAATTTATTCTGCATTGTTTCATATTTCAGCTGCCTCTTTAGCTTCCATGCCCCAGGGGGACTAGAAAACTGGCTCTCTACTTATAACTCAGTTCTTATTAAACTAATGACTCAATTAAAGCATTTTATACCAGAGCTTTCTGGTTTCTGTGACGAATGAAGGAGTGGGAGAGAGGGGAAGGGACTGGCTTATTCTGCTGGGTGACAGTGTACTTTAGGAGAAAGGCCGAGGAACAGAAGGTGATTTTGCCTTTTTGTTTTAATTTTAAAAATCTTATTTAATGATACAGGGTCTCTTAAAAAGCATGAGCCACCTCTTGCCAAGAGTGAGTGGCGAAAGAAGCTGACTCCAGAGCAATTCTATGTCACCAGAGAAAAAGGAACTGAACCGGTAAGCTAAACTGACTTACAGTTTTCTGATTAGAGGTGTGGAGAACGGGATTGGGGTAGATCTAGTTACAAAGCCTAACTGGTCATCATCTCAGACCATCATTATCCACCCAGCTGTAGAAACCAGAAACCTTTCCCTGGATGTGCCACTCTCCGCCCTCTATCGCCTCGCCATCTATTCTGCCTCCTGAATGACCTCCCAGTCACTCTGCTTCTCATCACTGCTGTTGCTGCCATGCTGGTCCAGGTCCCCCCCGGGTTCTCTCGCTGGTTGGGCTGCAGTAGCCTCCACTCTTCTACTCACAGCCATTCTTGCTCCTCATCTAGCCGTTCTCCACATGGCCTTTTCAAAACGCAAATCTGACCACATCACTCCCCTGCTCAAAATCCCTCAGTGGCTCCCCACTGCTTTCAAGGTAACGAAAAAGTGTTTAAATAGCTTCTAAGGCCCTAACGGCCCTGGCTCCTACCTCCCATACCCATCCTCAAATCCTGCCAGTTTTACCTCTTAATCTCTGAATTTTGGCCACACTGTCCTTTCATCTCTCAAAACACCTGGGCTCCCTTCTCCCCTAGGACCCTTGTACCCTGTGTTCTCCTTTCCCATCACTGGCCCCCGCCAATTCATTCAAACCTATATTCCAGCTCTCAGCCCAAACGTCACTTCCTCAGGGAAGCCTTTTCTTAGCTCCAATGTGGGTTTGCTTTTACTGGTCCTTTTCCTTCATAGCACTTGCCATTGTTGGTACATCCCTAACACATATCACAGAGTCTGGCACTCAGAAAATAAATTTCCTGAATGTTAAATGACTGAAGACTAAGAGGTGGAAACATTACTTAGACTACCTTCAACGATCTCACCTTTACTCATTTCCTGTGAGAATGGTCCTCAGTGGTTCCTTATTATAATGCCATTTTTACAGCACTGCATTTCTTAACAAGTAGCCTGTCTTAAACCCTAATATGGCCACTGGAATATAGCTCTTGAACTTGCCTATTAGGTGCCTTAATTTGTGAAGCAGGCCCCACCGAGTGGACCATAGCACAGTGGTTTTGCAAAGTTATAAAGTATTTATATCTTTACTCTAGCAGTTTTCTACAAAGTGCAAGTAGCTGTCTGTGTGCATGTGGCCTTACAATCATGGCCTCACCCTCCACTTCCCCTATGCTGAAGTCGTAAGACGGACCAACAGATCCCAGTAGATTTTTGTGAAAGACTGGTATTTTTGAAAACTTCTGTGGGTGGGATTTTAACAAAGCCTTTACTGGGAAAGAGACTATATTTGCCATTATTGCAGATGGCACAGGGGAGCCATATGTGATGCTCTGTACAGTTGTATGCATTCGCAGACTATTCTAGGCCTGCCCTGTTCTCAGGCAGAGCTTGGTATATATACAGAGTCTGGAGATGAGCTGCCTGATGTTTAGGAGAAGAAATCTGTGAGATTCTCAAACAGATGGTGCATTATACTCTGCTCATTTGGCCATTTTACAAAATGAGTCTCATCCGTTTGAACTAATGTTATAAATCCCTTTTACTTGATCCATTTCCACATTTAACTTTTTAGAATACTGCAGAACTATAAGCCTTTGTTAGCTTCATGTGGCTAAGGAAAAAGAAGTAAAACATCTAAGATTTTGATTGGTGACTAAAAATTAAAATTGAGTTCCATGTGTTTTTATCGGGGAGCAGTAATGTGCTGGCCCTCAACTAGGTATGATGAAGGAGTTTACATCAAATATCAGTAGAAGGTAGGCTTTATGCATGCCATCCTCTGTCTTCCCTCCAGATCTGCCTGCCGCTTGCTTTACCCGACTCGGAGCTCTGGGAAGAGTAATCGTCTCCCTTGCTATCTGGCTACTGATTGAGTTTGACCAATGGGAGATGCCAGAGAGATTAGATGGCAGGATCGAGAATTGGGGTTCAGGGTCCTCTCTGGAGCTGTGTCCGTCCAGGGCAGGTTGAAACTGCAGCAGGCAGCCCTCACCTACACCTGCAGTGTCACAGGCTCTGGTAACTGCCTCTTCCTTTGCCCCACAAGCCTAACAGGGGACATGTGTTCTGTGGTCATTGGCCCAGGGGTCCTTTGCCCTCCCTTGTTGGTATCCATTGGCGTCCCCACCTTTGTAAATGGTTCTGTATTAAATTATCTGCAGATTATCCCTTTGCAGTGTGTCATCTGTTTCCAACAGGTATGTTGTATTGACAAGATCATAGAAGAGAGAACTCCCATTGGTCCAGACAGACTGTCTTAGTCATTTTTGGTTGCTGTAACAATACTATAGGTTACAGGGCTTAGCCAGCACATAGTTATTTCTCACAGTTCTGCAAGCTAGAAGGGCCAAGGCCAAGGTCCCAGCAATTTGATGACGGGAGAGAGCTTCCTTCCTGGTTTGCAGATGGCCACTTTCTTGCTTTGTCCTCACGTACTAGAGGAAGAGAGCAGCTGTCTCTCTCATGACTCTTCTTATAAGGGTGCTAGTCACATTCATGAGGGCTTTACCCTCATGACCTAGTCACCTTGCAGAGGTCCCACCTCTGAGTACCATCACATCGGGAATTGGGCTTCAACAAACCTTCAGTCCATAGCACAGGCATTGAAAACCCAAGGGGTATCTTTTGTGTTATGCTGGCTCTGACCTTTCCGCACCCCCAAACAGTCATTTCAGTTCTCTGTTCTAAATAATTCTTGAACTGACCGTCTTCTTTTTATTACCAGTGCTCCTGCCACAGCTAAATCCAGGTCTGTATTGGTGGCTCTTTGGTGGTTCTTTGCCTCCAGTGTCTTCTTGCCTCTGCTCCAGGCTATTCTTATATGAATGTCATGTGCACACCCAGTTTAAGTTTCCACTGGACACATACCAGGTTTTCAAGTAAACACTAATGTGAACAACTGAGATGGAAGCTGAGTTTAGCCCTAAATAAGAGCTAGGATATATAAAATTGGGGAGGGGAGAGGGAGACATCAGGAAACCAGACAAGGAGGGGCAGCTCACAGATGTCATTTCATATCAGCTAGTGCTTCCTTTTCATTGCAGTATTTTAAAACTATAATACCAGTTCCCTGTCACTTCTGTCCAGCTGCCCCCTGCAATGACAACATTATGTTTTTACTCTTATCAGGTCATTTGGATCCCATGAGTGGGCATTTCTAGATCAACTTCAGGACTGGGAGCCCTTGGGCATGCGTGCCTCATCAGCCCAGGCGGGAGGGATCTGAAACTTCCTTCCCGTGACAGATACTTATCCCAGTGTTGGGACTGAGCATTCCGGGGGACGGGCCATGAAAAACCACCTGCTCAGTACTGTTCAGATTTCTTCAGCTAAGTGTAGGGTCTTTAAAGAGGGAAAACATCCAAGTGTGCCCAGATGGTAGCCTCAGTAGCTAAATAATGGACAATCATTGGGAATGTGCCATTAGTACCACGACAGAGGGTTTGAATGTTTGACCTGTGAACTTGTTGAGCTGGGAAATCTAGAGCAGCCAGAAGAGTCCAGCCTATTTCCTGATCAGTCCTGTGACTCAGTGAGCCATCCTGTACTTCAGCTTCTCCTCCATCCAATAAGATGGGACAATAGTTCATAGTTGGCTAGTGCAAGGGTTTCGTTTTCTTTAATTTTCTTTGACAAAAAAAGAAGTGGACAAAAATGATCCTTTTATTTTAACCAGTGACATCCAGCGTGTAAAATAACATTAAAAAAAAATGACCCAGCTTACTCAAAAAGCTCCTCCCAAAAGACTTTTAAACCTTCAGACTCTGAAGCCCCAATTAATGTTGTAATTTCATCTAAGCTGTCACTTAGGCACTGGGGCAATCTCGCCCATTATTTTACATTTATCAAGTACACAGTGTCCTCAGCACTATGTGAAGCATAGTAAAGGCACAACCCTAATTTCACTGAGCTATACTTTTTATGTATTCATATTCTGTCTTTAATTGGAGATTTCAAAGTGTTTTTGACAGGGGACTAGATTCCTGTTGTATTGACTCTATTGAAATGGAGACTGAAATCTTACACAGTCCAGGGAACTGTTCTTTCCCCTTTTCATGGACTTTGATGTTCCTAGATGAAAGGTGCTATGTAAATATAGGACATTATTAATGTCATAATTTGAATATTTTATACAATGAAGGATGGGTTGTAAATAAGTCTGCAGTCTGCTTCATTGGGGGTGTGGTAATTTTCTCCCTGGTGATATCTGCACCTTGTCAAATTAGTACAAAAGGTCTTTGGGTACTTCATCTTGGATTTAAATCTACTATAACATCTTCTAGAGTGATGCGAACCCTGAACATGATGTATCTAATTGACTTTCAGCCTTTCAGTGGGATCTACCTGAATAACAAGGAATCAGGAATGTATCACTGCGTGTGCTGTGACAGCCCACTCTTCAGGTGAGATAAAAGATCAAGAGATTCTGAAGGAGAACAGACCTCTGAGGTCCTTCAGATCTGCATCATTTGGTGCCTTGGCTAAAAACATACCCAAGTTGTTTTTAATTGTCCTTCTCATCTGGCATGGTTGCGATAAGGAGAGCTATTTATGTAAGGTACTTGCTTGTCTTAATTATTTCTAGTATTTAGAACAATTAACAAGACTTATTTGCCTATATTCTTTCTTTCTGTATCCCTGGGATATAGCAAAATAATAAAACTTGGTCGGCACCTTAAATGAAAGCTATTAGAATTTTTTCCCTGGGAAAGTATTTAAAGAAACCTAAACCATAGTAGTATTTATTTGGCCATGTGATTAAAACTGTATCTCTCCCAGGGAAAATGGATTTATAATTCAATTTAGGAAATGTAGAATTTTATGAGCACAGATTCCCCACAATGCTTGACAGTAGTGAGTACCATGCCCTCTTCTATGTAGCTAAAAGTAAATTTAATTGTCCCTTGATTTCAAAGCCTCTTTTAAGTCAATCAGGATCTGAAATCTCTCAACAAAGGCTTTTTTGTTTAGACATGCGGGAAACAGTCTAAAAAAAAGTAGATTCAGTGGAGAAGAAAGGAAAACATCTTTGAAGTCTTGTTTTTCAGAACTTCAAAGATGTTGTTTTTTTTCTTTTGCATCAACCCTAAATTGGTTTAGAATAAAATATAAATCAAGCCAGCTCTGTGAGTCTTCCATTAGGCTGTGCTTCATTATGTCCTTTGGGCTTTGAGCAGACCGGGCTTTCCTGCTAATGTGGGCTGAATTTGGAAAACCAGATCCTGCCTTCAAGGTTGAGGAACGATTAGGATTGATTTTCCTTCGTGCTCACGGAAGGGCATTCTTTGGCCCAGATCCATTCATTCTGTCAGTGGCTAGTGAAGAGACATCTAAGATGGCAGTCAGCCCAGGATGGCCTGGGGATAACGAGGAGACGAAGGTTAACTTTGACACAGTAATATGTGGGACGCATATTTTTGAGACAATTATGCCATGACCTTTGGTTCTATTAAAGAGGAGAAGTAGGATCTTGAGATGGCCAACCTGCTTTAAGCCAAAAGACCATGTTGTAACAATAACAAGGACTGCCTTGTTACTGTATGGTAACTAGGCAGATGTTCCGTTTCTGTCTTTGACTGTGAAGATGAACAATTAGAAGCCATTCTTGTAAGAGCGTTCTCCTACATTTCATTCTTGGTTGGTTTTTATTTCCCCTTCATTGGTTTATGCAATGGTAAAGTTGAGACCTTCTTCCTACCCCGTGCCCACCATCCCCTCACCGCGTAGGTCAGGCACGGAGTCACAGAATGTCGGAGCAGGGAGGACCCCAGAGACCAGGGCAGAAAACTCCATCTGGTGGAATTTTCTGCGATGGTGGGAATGTTCTCTATCTGCTCCATCCAGTGTGATAGCCACTAAGCTCATGTGGCTATTAAGCATTTGAAATGTGGCTAATGCCACTGAAAAACTGAATGTTTTATTTTATTTAACTTTAATTAATTTAATTTATAAGTCCACATGTGGCCAGGCTACTGTAGTAACACAGTTGCAGTCCAAATTAAGGAAGTTGAATGACAGCCCCAGATCACTAAGGTAGTGAAGCAGCTGAGACTAACAGGACAGCTTACTGATTCTCCAAAAACCTGTTTACCAAGTGACCGGTTTACTTACTTGTTTCTTCTCAGTCACTTAGTTGTAGTTGAAAAGTTTTCCTTTCCTTTTTTTCTTATTTCTTTTCAGTCACTTAGTTTTAGTTGAAAAGTTTTCTTTTTTTAAGGACTTTTGAGTTTGTTTCTGTTCTGTTTTGCTGCTTTTACTGCAGCCAAGACTGAGAGAAAGAAGAATATATTCATAAAAACCATTTAGGTTCCAGAATATTCTCTATTTAAAGATGTGTTTGTTTATAGTGTAACAGTGGTTAAGACTGCCTAGAAGTACATCCTTGTTCCACAGCCCTGTGATCTTGGGCAAGTTTCTTAACCTCTCTGTGCCTCAACTAGCTCACCTGTAAAATGAGCATTAGAGTAGTCCCGAACTTACAGGTTCTTGGGAATATATTCTTGTTTTGCCTCTCATTTCCCCCCACACTTTGTCCCCAGTTTCCAGCCTTAATAATAGGGAGCAGGGGTAGAGAAAAATAGACTTTCCTTCAAATGCTTGTTTAAAGTCAAAAGGAGGTGAAAAGTCAACCAAAGCTGCATAGTTAAAGAGTTGAGTGGATGTGGGACCACTGCCTTTTGGCAGGTGGGCTCGCTGCTGCCTGCAGAGTTGCCTTCACACGGAGCCACCACGGTGCGTGTTCAAGGAGAGCTGCCCCCTCTCCAAATCAGAGACCTTTAAGTCAAGATTTCCAGGGTCAGGAATACTCAGGATGTTATCGATCCCCTGAGGACTCCAGATTGTCACTTTATGACTCTGCTCCCTCCCTGCTTTCTCTCTTTACCTTCCTTCTCCTTCCCTTCAGATACCAATTCTGGAAGTATTTATAAAAATCTGGGGTCACATATTTCCTGGTCATAAATCTTAGAAGAAAACCTGAGAGCCTAATATTAGTTCCTTTCTTATGTAACATCTGATGTCCTACATGTTACTGGTAACTAATGTTGTTTAAAACCCTTTTATGAGCTTTTAAAACCCATTTTCTGATTCCTTCAAATGAACAGATATTCTTCTAAGGTAGGGTTGTGAGCTATCACCAAGATGTCTATGCTGTCGGTTTGGGGGTGGGGTGGGGGCTGTAGAATTTCCAGAAATGAGTAATAAACCAGAGAGCATATGAGAAGAGATGATCCAGAATGGTTGTAGTTTTTCAAGGGTGGGCCTTATAATCTGTTAATCATTTCAATATGTATATTAAAATTTCTAATTGGCCTTACTATTTAGGTTCCTAGTTTTGAATGATGTATGATGACCCTCTCATATTACTTGGCAAAATCTCCAGTTTCTGTTCATTGCACCAATAAAGGTTTATTGTTTCCCATAAAATGTTTTAAATGACTTTTTATTAGTCTTAGATTCATTCATTAAAAAATTTATTATATTCATAATTCTCCATTGAAATTCCTTTAATGATCACTAGTTTATATATAATGCTGAGGGTGGAAAGGATATGATTAAATGATACTTAAGATGTTTGTCCCTGGGCCAGAGTGGCACAGATGAATGTTTCTGAACCCTTGGAAAAGGATTGCAAAAAAATCCAACCTGAATTTGCAGACACTTATAATTGGATCAACAGCTGTTCAAATTTCATGGATATCTGTTATTCATAATAATAATGATATTAAAAATAATAGCTCCTGAGTTGTATACCAAGTGTCTGACACTATGCTATATAGAAAGTATCTCAGTTAATCCTCTCAGCAACCCTGTGAGGTAATGATGCCATTATTAATCTATTGATTAGGATGCTGAGGCTTTAAAAGATTAAATAACTTTCCAAGGTCACAGAGATGTAATAGGCAGAGCCTGGATTCACACCCAAGTCTTTCAGAAGTCAAAGCTCTGACTCCTCAAAGTTATACCTGTGGTTCCCAAACCTGGTCTGGGCATCCCAAGAATTCCTAGGACACTTTTAGGGGATCTGTGGGCCCTCTGTTTTTTAACTACATGTTTGTAAGGCCACATCTTCCAATCAGGACAGCGCTTCAGCAGATTGCATGCAGAAGCATATATGAAGATTCAGTAGTCCTTATTTAAGCTAGACATTAAAGAGATTTGCAAAACCGTAAAACAGCGCAACTCTTCTCACTAAATGTTTCATTTTGGAAAATATAACCATATGTCATAAAAGTGTTATTTATTTTGTCTTTTTTATTTTTCTTAAAAATGTTATTTATATTATATAGTGAATGTATTGTTTTTAAAAATAAGTGACTCAGGAAAGAAAAATTTTAAATAGTGCATACATATTTTTTAAATTCTCAGTTTTAATTTATAATTTGTTAAATATTGATATATATAACTCATGTAAACACAAGCTTCCAGTAATTCTCACTAATTTTTTAGTACTAAAGGGTCCTGAAACCAGAGTGTTGGAGAATCACTGCATTGCAGTACATGTTTATGGAAAGGTTTGTGCCCTAAACTGAGCTGCTTTTCCTGTTTGTAGTCTAGGGATCGGATTATTTGACAGACTTTTTTTTCTACTTTGCTCAGCATTTTTTCTTTTTTGGCAAGGTTTATGATTCATTTCTTCTCATTTTTTCCTTAGAGCCATCTGATTGCTATTTAAAATCAAAAAGTCTATTTTTCTAGTGCCATTTAAGGGAACTTCTCTTTTAAGGCACTTTGTAGGTCTTTGGTGCGCAGATTGCTCGTTGCTCTCCTCCTCCTCCTCTAGCTCTCCCAGCCTTCAGCATCACTGGTCCCTGTGGGCCTTCCCCAGGAAGGCCAGGCTTCACTGCAGTGATTGACTCAGAGTGATCAGGCTTATTTATTTATTATTAATAATAATCACAGTGAAGGTTCATTCATAAGCACTTACCATGTGATCCACAGAGTAGTTCTTTAAATTCTCAAAACATATCATAAAATAGGTCTTATCCCCATTTTACAGATGGGAAAACTGAGGCTTAGAGAGGTGAAGCAGCTTGCCTAATTTCACACAGCTAAGGAGTGGCAGGGGCAGCCCTTGGATTCCCATAGGCAGTCAGGTGCCTGTGTTTAAATAGTCCAAAGTTTCTGTGCTGAAAGGGGCTGTTTCATCAGATCTCACACTTTTCTGACATGCCAAACTCACGATGCCCTCCTTCAGCACTGTTATTTCATTGGGATGTCCCCCTTTTCTACAATTAGAACACACAGATTCAATCTGTGTTTCTTAATATGCAACACAGTTCACAAAGCTCCTACTGTTTTTAGGTCCTTGTCAGACTTTGAGAGGAAAGTCTTTAGCACCGAAGGAACAAGAAACCCTTTCACTGCAATGGGACAATGTTTTTAATAGTGAAGGTGGAGCGGGCAAAATTCCTGTGTTATTGATGGTCATGTAACTGGCCCTGGGATCTGGCACAGGAGGGAGGGAATCACATCTGATTGGTAGAAAAATTAGTTGGGGGATAAAAATGCTACTTGTGTGTTAATAACGGTCTTAACAGCTGTGGCTTTGGAAATGTCTTCCTTAGTTCTGATAAAAAGTATTGCTCCGGCACGGGATGGCCCTCATTTTCTGAGGCCCATGGAACGTCTGGCTCTGATGAAAGTAGCACGGGAGTCCTGAGACGTGTGGACACATCATTAGGAGCAGTTCGCACAGAGGTTGTCTGCAAGCGAGTGAGTTTCTTTGCTTTGACTGTTTGGTTTTCCCAAATGCTGCCCCAAGAACCACAAAGAGCTCTCTTGTCCTTGGCACATCTAGTAGTCACCGAAGCACATTGGCTTTCTACTCATGCTGCTTCAGCTCTCTCTTCCGTCATTCTGGGTAGATGAGAGGAAGAACCTTCCTGAGCCACTCTCTGAGTAGCCTCTCCTGTTCTAGCCTTCCAGAGCTGAGAGCAGAGTGAGAATATGAAAGAAAGAGTTGGCCTTTCGCATTTTTTTAAAAACATTTACTGAGGTGACATTGGTTCACAAAATCATACAGTTTTCAACTGTACAACTCAGTGAAACATCATCTGCCCACTTCATCATGCATCCGTTGCCCAGAGCAAAATTTCTTTCCGTCCACATTTATCCCCTCTTTGACCACTTTCACCTCCCCTCCCATTTCCCTCTAGATATCACCACACTGTTATCTGCACACTGTTATTTTAAATACATATTTGTTTCAGGTGTATAGCATAGCAGTTAGACAATTAAATAGTTTACAAAGTGATCTCATTAATAAAATTCTAGTACCTTTACTAGAATTTTACTTTACATTCCTAAAGTACTATTTCTAGTACTTTACATTCCTATGACTATTTTGTAACCTTTTCTTAAAATTTTTTTATGCATTCTTTTTTTAATTTTATTTTTTTAATTTATAAATCATGTTTATTTTATTACAGTTGTCTCAATTTTTACCCCTTTACCCCCCTCCCCCCATCCCACCCTCACCCCCGCTCCCACAGTCAATTCCCACTCTGTCGTCCCTGTCCATGGGTCATTCATACATGTTCTTTGTCTAGTCCTTTCCCCTTCTTTCCACCATTGTCCTCTTTGCCCATCCCCTCTGGTCACTTTCAGTCTGCTCCATGTTTCCATGCCTGTGGTTTATTTTGTTTGTTAGTTTATTTTGTTGAATATGGTCCACTTATAGGTGAGATCATATGGTATTTGTCTTTCATCAACTGGCTTATTTCACTTAGCTTAATATTTTCCAGTTCCATCCATGTTACCTCAAAAGGTAGGAGATCCATCTCTCTCCCCTTTCTTTTTCTATCTTCCTTCCTTCCTTCCTTCCTTCCTTCCTTCCTTCCTTCCTTCCTTCCTTCCTTCCTTCCTTCCTTCCTCTTTATTTCTTTTTTCCTTTCTTAAGTGCAGATTGACTTTATTTATTTTTTAATGTCAGAGTTCATTATAAAATATTAAACAATTTAAAATTATTATAAAGTCTCAGCAATTAAACCACTATGACACCAGCACAGAAATAATTAAGTAGATCAATAAATAAAATGAGCATTCTAGAGACAAACATATATATCTGTCTAACAATGTAATATATGAAAAAGTTGATATTTCAAATCAATGGGGAAAATAAGGCTTATTCAGCAAATAAGGTGCATGGGCCACTATTACCTGAAATAAAAGAGAGCCCTATTTCACACATTATACAAGAAATATTCAGGTGAGTTAAAAATCAACATGTAGAATCTACAGAGTTTTAGGAGAAAATACAAAATAATATTTTTCTTACCCTGAAATAACATATTCAAACCCTAAACTGCTGAGAAGTCAGCTGCTAGCCATATCGAGGCTCCCTTATATGTTACTACCTTTTTCTCCCTTGCTTCCTTTAGGATTCTCAGTTTGTCTTCGATATTTGCCATTTTAATGATGATGTGTCTTGGAGTGGGCCTCATTGGGTTCCTCTTGAATGGACCCTCTGTGCTTCCTGGACTTGTGTGACTTTTTCTCTCAAATTTGGGAAGTTTCCCATCATTATTCTTTCAAACGGGTTCTCTATTCCTTTCTCATCCTCTTCTCCTTATGGTATCCCTATTATACGGATATTATTACATTTCAAGTTGTCCTGCATTTCCCTCAATGCCTCTTCATTCTTTTTGAGTCTTTTTTCATTTTCTTGCTCTTTCTGGGAGCTTTTAGCTACCTTGTCCTCCAGCTTGCTGATTCGATCCTCTTCTTCATTGAGCCTGCTTTTGATTCCTTCTACTGTGTTTTTCAATTCAGAAATTGTATTCTTCATTTCCTCATCTCTTATTGATAGTTTCTATGTCCTTTTTGATGCTAATATAGTTTGCAGTAAGTTCCTTGTAGTTTTCCTGTAGTTTTTTATAATTCTCTCTGAGCTCACTGAGCTCATTGAGCTTTCTTAGAACTGTTGTTTGGAACTCAATATCTGATAGTTTACTTGCCTCTATTTAATCTAGTTCTTTTTCTGGAGATTTGTCCTTTCCCTTTGAGTGGGGGATATTTCTTTGTCTTCCCATTATTTGTGAGACTCTTCTCTTTTGCTCTCCATCTTAAGTTGATCTGTCTTGATTTCCTGACTTTGTAGTGTGAACTTCTATGGTTGGAGACCACTGTTTTTACTTTCTGGATCTGCCTCTGATGACGTCAGATGTTGTCCCTGTCTGACCTTAGGCAGTTTGTTCAAGACTTCCAGGAATCTACTGTTTGTGGTTGTCTCCTTCAGCTGTTAATCTCATCACTCCGCACTCAGCAGGCCCCCTTAGACAGCTCAGGGTGGGGCAGAGCCCCTCCTGAGGACAGGGTTATTTGGTCCTCTCACGCTGCTGGCATAGTGGGGAGGAGTCAGCGCCAGGATCCCACTGGCAACTCTCTTTGTTCTTTCCCCAAAGCCTCCATCTCCAGTTTGTCCTCAAGTGTTTCCAGACCTCTCTGCGCCCCCTTAGCCAGGGATCTACTATCTGTGGCTGCCACTCTGCACTCAGCAAGCGGCTTAGACAGCACAGGGCTGGATGGAATCCCACCTGGGGGTGGGGCTATTGGGTCCTCTGACTTTGGTGCCGCTCAGGGGGAGTGGTCTCTGCCTGAGCAAGATGGCTTCTGCCGCATGGGGGAATGAGTCAGCACCAAGATCTTGCCAGCTACTCTCTCAGTTCTTTCCCCAGTGTCTCTTCAGGTCTCTCTAACCCACTCTGCCCCCGCCTTTGCTGGAGACCAGGGTAAGTGGCTGCAAGTAAAAATTTATGCGTTGGCCCTTTAAATGGTTCTTTGCGTCTCCAGTCACCTGTCCCTGGGAGAGAGCAACCCTGCCACTTTTCGCAGTTGGCTGTTTTCTGCGTACTTTTTTGGCTCTGGTGCGGTAGGCTAGAGATCCCTGCTTTTGGTTTAGACCCCGCTCTTCTCTGGTGGATCCAACTGGCTGTTTCAATATCCTTCTGGCGCTGCTGCCCGTGGGCATTCCACCTGCCTTCTCGAGTCTCTACCATACTCCTTACCAGTTAGATTGCGCCAAAGCTGATTCTTCTGTCTCTGAGGTTACAGGGCTTCCCTCTCGCTATTGTTCAGTTGTTTGTTCCAGGTGATTTCTCCACAGTTTAGTTGTAATTCCAGGTTGGTCCTGGGAGGTGGTCAGTGTGACTTCCACTCACTCCTCTGCCATCTTGATTCACTCCTATTTTGTAACTTATTAATCCCTTCACCTTTAAAAAAAAGTTTTATTGTTGACACAATTACAGATGTTCCCCATTTCCCATCCCGCCTTTGCCCACCTACCCCGAGCCCCTACTCCCAAATCCCTTAGACTTCACCACACTATTCTTTGTAGATGGGCTAAGCATATATAGCCTTTAGCTAATCTCTTTACCTTCTTTTTCCAAATCCCCTTCACCCACACCCCTCTGACATTTGTCATTCTGTTTCATGTACCCATGTTTCTATATCTATTTTCTTTGTCAGTTTGTTTGTTTTTTCATTATATTCCACATATAAGTGAAATTGTTTAGTATTTGCCTTTATCTGGTTGGCTTATTTCACTTAGAATAATAATCTCCAGGTCTATCTATGCTGTCACAAAAGATAATATTTTTTCTTTTTTATGGCCAGGTAATATTCCATTGTGTAAATGCACTAGTTTTCTAATGTACTCATTTACTGATAAGCACTAGGGCTGTTTCCAGATCTTAGCTATCATAAATAACACTGCAGTGAACATAGGGGTGCATATATGAGGTCTGTCCAGAAGATATCCAGCTATGTACTATGAAAAATAGAGACATTTACTGAAAAAGATACAAGATAAATTATACATAGGACAATGGCACCTCCGTCCCCTTCAAGTAGGTACCTTGGGACCTCACACAGTTCTCCCAATAGCTATCAGCCACCCTGTTGTATTTTCCTGAATCTCATCAATGATCTGAAATCTCTTCCCTTTCAAAGGTGGTTTTAGTTTTGGGAAAAGCCAGAAGTCGCAGGGTGCCAAATCTGGGTTGTAGCGGGGCTGAGTCACCTGGGTGATTTGATATTTTGCCAAAATACTTTGCATGAGGCATGATGCATGAGCAGGTGCATTGTCGTGATGAAGCTGCCAATCACCATTGCCCATATATGCGACCTTCTGAATCACCTGAATAGTTTCCGTGGAGGAATGTTCAAGCCTAACACAAAATCTGATGGAGACTCATTGCTCTACTCGCTCAGTCATTTTGAATGCCACGGCCACACAATACACATGCTCACTCAATGGCATCTACCTCACCCACTGACTAGTTCAGTGAAGTCATCATTATTCATGCATGCACATTCCAGTCCACTCTCCTTGGCTGCCAGGTTACATTGATCTCACACAAACTGTTTGTGTTATATTAACAATGGCTGGGTTTTTTTCTGGACAGACCTCGTGTTCTTTTGCATTAGTGTTAGGGTTTTTTCAGATATATTCCCAGAAGTGAGATTGCTAGGTCAAAAGGCCATGTTTAATTTTTTGAGGTGTCTCCATTACCACTTTCCCCAGTGGCTGCACCAGTCTGCATTCCCACCAGCAGTGCACCAGGGTTCCCTTTCCTCCACATCCTTGCCAGCACTTGTTCGTGTATTTATTGATGATAGCCATTCTGACAGGTGAGAGGTGATATCTCATGGCCCTTCACATTCTTTTGAATGGGGACAGGCAGCAAAGGCCTAACGTGGTTGGCATCTCTTTG